TTTCCTCAAATAAAGTCAATCTCACTGTATGCTGACAATACAAGTGTCATCCAAATCGTTGCTAATCCTGTTTTTCATGAACGCACCAAACATATCGAAGTTGATTGTCATTCAATTTGTGACGCGTATGATGACCGACTAATATCACCTCTTCATGTCAGTACTCAATTGCAAGTTGCAGATATTCTTACCAAGGTTATTCCGCACCCATGTCATTAGTTTCTTGTTAGCAAATTGATGCTCATTGACCAGCCACATCAATTGAGGGGGGATGTGAATAAGTAGCTGATTTGTCCTCTACATTCTATTAATAAGTTTGTTTCTAAAATAAGGGAAACAAATCCGAAATTGATTTGTTCAAATTAAATGTATTTATTTAGTGTAATTACTTGTATAGCCATGTAACCTCTATATATACAAGAAAGAAGAATGAGAAAGGAGGAAGCCAATAATTATTGACATCTAAATTCCTCGGATTTGGGGGACGAAAAAAGTGTCTTTTGGAGGGATTTTGCTCCCCTCCCCTCCCCACATAAAAATAAAATTTGAACCAAACACATTTAATTATAAATATTTCTTCCCCTACCCTCTATTCATCCCGAACCAAACACACCCTAAGGCAATGGGAGTATGGGTCACCTCGCTTATATGCTCAATATTTCCTCCATTTTTAGTCGATGTGGGACTTAATCACTCACACTTGAATTCAACTGTTTTCTTACTCATGTTGATGGTTGTTAAGATAAGACCTTCAATCTTTTAAATTGAAAGCAAAGCCGTCTTTTAAGGCGTGCTGCCGCACAAGGCCCAAACTTTTTTAAACTTAAAGCATAACTAAATAAGGGCTCATAAAATATTTATCAATATTAAAATGTGATTAAATAGGGCCTCTAATTGTTTTGTCATGGTTGAACCATGACTAATGTACATGTGGCCTCCAAAAACTTATAATAGCTCTAATTAAAATATGTGTTTCCTGTTCTCGGTCTTTTGAACAACTTTCTCTCTATTTGTAATTTATGCAATAATATCTTTTATTCTCATTGTGTTTATTACGATCTTGCAACGAAAAATATGATCGGAGTTTGATATGGCTCAGTAAGGGTTATACTATTTGTCGGTCCATGAATTGGTCAAAAAACATCGTCTTCTACACTACAATCTCACTCAGAGTTTCATTCTTTTGCCTCGCAAATATGACTTTGGCACAAGCGTCTAAATCATATTTCTTATTCATTACTAAAGTGTATGTTTTCATCCTTGCTGTTAAAACAATTTGCCTTCAAGTCTTACAAGTTATGCACCATTTGATGTTTTCGGATCTACCTCTATGTCTTATACTTTCCATGTGATATGGTTTGTTTTCTTTATAGATGATTAATCAGTAACTTGAATTTCCTTATTGTTTATTCAATTTTACAATATAGTACAAACAAATTTAAAAATTAAAAAAAATTAAATATGTTCCGACAACATTAAAGGATATAACAATAATAGTTCTTCATGTTCCACTAATAAACATTGCACCGTCCATAAATTCACATGTCTCCTCCCTACAATAAAATAGTGTTGCAAAAAGAAAAAAATCCTCATTTACTTGAAGTTGTTCAAGTTCTTCTCTACCAAATGTCTGTCCCAAAATCATATTGGAGTAAAGAATTTTTAACTGGTGTTTATCTTATTAATTGTGTCATCCCGTGTTGTTGGTAATTTTAGTATTGTGCAGTTTATGATCTCACTTTTTTCTTCTACTATTTCTATTATATAGAGTCTTAGGGTATTTGGATGTTTTTCTTTTATTAATATTCATAAGCAACACAGTACTAAGTTGCATTCCTCCTGCACATAAATGTATGTTTGTGAGTTATGCTCCTAACAAAAGGTTATAAATGTTATCATCTTCCTAATCGTAAGTACTTTATCTTTATAAATGTCACATTTCATGAAAACATGTTAATAACTCTGATTTTAAGTTCGATTCCGTGACCTTTAGTCTTCACCTCTCTTAAGTTTTGACTCCTACTTCAACATTTGAACCTAATTCATCGCCTATTTTCAACCATATTCCTGGTTCAACTTCTAAACTCGAGTCTATTTCTTTTTCAATTTATCTAGTGTCATCTATTTTAAGTTTTATTCTTGGTTCAACTTCTGAACCTGAATCCTGATAGAGATATTTCCAAAATATTATTGAAAAGGTTGTATTTGTGAGAGAATATATAAATTACAAATTAGATTTGATGAATTGAGATTACATGGCCCAATGGTAAGGCATGTTTTACTTGATAATAGGTTGCAGGTTTGATTCCTATGTTGTTCACTTATCTAATAAAGTTTAATTTATTATTAAACAGTAAAATCGAATAAAACACAGTAACTTTCGTGTTCTGAGGTACTATTAAAAGATTTAAATCAATAAAACACACGAAATTATAATTATTCCTTATAAACAGAGATACTTAGGAAGCAATAAAACACAAAATTAGGATTGTTCTAAGGCTTTTCTCTCCCATTTATATTACTCTAAATCATCGTTCACTTCTTTATTGCATGAAAGAAGTGTGGACACATTTTTTGGGAACAATTATCAAAAGATAGTTTATTGTGTTTATGCATAATGTATATTTATGTAATTGGATGTCAAAATTAGTCTTTTAATTTATAAAAAACGAGTATAAAAAAACTTACAATATTTAAAAAAAGTTCATATAAAAATAATTTTTAGAAATACAAAATAAATATCATTCTTTTTTAAAACTAAAACAAATAGGCCCAAACTTGTATTTATTGATCCATTAATATGGATATGATTGAAAGAGAGAAAGCTTATTAAAGTTACTCTCTTTAATAGGTACTATCTTAATCTACTTCATATATATATATATATATATATATATATATATATATATATATATATATATATATATATATATATATATATATATATATATATATGACTTAAATGTGAGAGTGTGTTTAATATAAATAAGGATGTCATTTAAAAGTTATCTAGTTAAGCCTAACTATCAAATAGAGAAACGGTAATGCGTAAAGTCCGTATCTCATAGGATCATTGATATGAGATATCAATTTTTCACATAGGTATAAATACTATGAGTAATAATAATACTGGATGGATTGACTCACCATGTAGTGTCATAAGTGTTACTATGAGTAATAATAATACTGGATGGATTGACTCACCATGTAGTGTCATAAGTGTTACGTAATAGTGATGTATAATTACCATTTGATCTGAACCCACTATGATCCCTATTTAAGGAGTTGATGACTTTAGTTTCGTCAAACATATTAGGTAACAAGACAATTATAAAATTGGTTAACTGGGTACTCAACGAGTCATTTGAAAGAAAAGGGATGACCTAGATGAGATTTTTCCTTCCTACTTATGCATGAGTAATATCTACAACCCTTTAATTGAGTATGATTATAAAATACATGGTCAATGTGAAATAAGTCAACAACATATTGAACTTATTTATTGTTACAAAGTATATCGAGTATAAAGAAATATAATATTTAATTATACAATGGTGACACAAACTATATCTTGTGTTCAATATAGATATGACGGTAAAAGGTTTAGGGTTTAGGGTTTAAGATTTAGGGTTTAGGATTTAAAATTTAGAGTTTAGGGTTTAGGGTCAATCATATGACATTCTCATCACTTAAATTAGAGATGTCAATTTATATATGTTAATGAAGATCTCCGAATAGAATGTCCTCCTTGGAGCCCCCAAAGATGGGAGCAAATTCCCCCAACCTATTCCAGGACAATTCTTAGTTTTATAGTTTAAGTTACTTTGATTTTTTCATATATTTTTTTAGCATATATAAAAGAGATAGATTTCTTTTTAACATGTGTGAAGTACTAATAGTATGTGTTTTTTTTAAATATTTATAATTTATTTTACTTTGTATGTCGATAGTTTTTCGTGGGAATTATGGAAGACAAGGATGAATTAAAATCTCCTATAGTAGAGATTGGGGGCATATCATCCGCTCCACCCTAGTGACATCCCTACTTGAGTAACAATGATGTATTGCTAGCTAGACACCACTATCTATTTATAATGTTAAATAGTGATTTAATATTATTGTCAATGTCATAAAAATTTAGAGAGTCATACACAAAATGACAAACGAGAGATCAATAAAATTCATTTATGATTCGGTGGTGAATTCTTACGTTGCACTAACATTAATTAGAGTACGGTCTATATAAGTGGTTTCGTAAATAGAAACCTTTTACTAAAGTGAGAATCAATCATTCGTGTATTCTCAAAACCCTAGCCACACTAGAATTTTGAGATTGTGTTCTCTCTAAGACTTTCGTCCGTTCATTGTATTCTTGTGGCATGAGTAGAAGCGTTACAGTTTGTGTTGTGCTCATGAAAAATCTATTTTGACCCGTCCGTTTTTTACAATCAAATCTTATATACTACAAGAAGTAATCCATCGATATATGACTCACGACTAATATGACTCACGACCATTAGTAAGGATCAATCACAAAGGAAATTTTGGAATTTATCCACTATGTGTTAAGAGTCTTACATCGGACAATATATAGCGTGAACACATGCTTATAAGTGGAGGCAATCCTCATCCTACAAGCTAGTTTTGTAGAGATAAGTTTGGTTAAACCACATTTCTTAACATGGTATCAAGAGCTTTGGTTTTAAGATCCATTGGACCACCAGCAATTAGGTTTCCGCTATCAGACCAGTCACTGTTACCCTACAATCCGATTTTGTAAAGATGAGTTAGGTTAAACCATATTTCTTAACGCTATATTTATTGAAATTTCTCTTAATCTATATGATACTAATAGTGTGTTTGATATTGAAATTATACTTAAAGTTCATAACTTTTCATTATAAACAACAAAGTTAATTTCTAGCTTTTCCATTAACCCTTAAAATAGACTTTACGTTAAACAAATGATGCTTAAAAAAAAAATAGTGAAAAAGACATACAGTTCAAGAGCTTTGGCAAATGTAAGCTCGAAGAGTGTGATCAAAGAGTAGAGAACCCAATATGTGAGCCATTGTTGGTCATCAACACTAGACTTTGTCTCAATGGCCTTGATTGAAGCATATCTACCAACAAATCAAAAAATCAAACACATAAATCATAGCATAATGCTACAAAGTCAGAAAATCATAGCATGCTTACAGAGGATAAACAAGGGTCACCAAAGGCCTGAAAAAAGAAAAGAAAATCAATAAAATGGTACTCGTCAATGTTTCACTGGACAAAGATGGAAAGGAGAAGATCATACAGAGAAAGAACATCGAAGTTTTTGAGAACAACTTGGAGAAGATTGTTGCCGGAAGCACCCATGTATTGGGGGAAAATGGGTTTGGTTTTTGGTGAAGAAGAGTGTGAAAAAGGGTTTGAAGATGGGACTAGAGAGAAGAGAAAAGTATGAAAAGGAGTGAATGAGTGAGTGTTATAGTACTATTGAAAGAAAGAAGGAAAAAAGAACACAGATTTTTGGCACGTTAAAAGAGGCACCGAAATTCGATGTTATTTTTTCTTACCTCGTGGATTGTATGTTGTTGACACATTGACGCGCTTGTCTCTACTCATCTTACTATATATACGATATTTTATTTTTGGGTTTCATCTCTCACCCTTTTATTTTTTTGAAATTTTCGAAACAAATCTCATTTTTAGGTTTTGGCTCAATGTAATATGCTTAATTGTTGATAGGGATGGAAATAGATAAGATTGATTAAGAGGACTTACTATTATTTTAAATAGGTATAGGGCTAGCTAATTTTTATTTAAATAGAAAAAACATGGGTTCTTTTAGATAATAATCTATTATAAAATGTTGAATATTCTAATTTCAATTAATTACTTATTTATAATTTATCGTATTTTTTATTTTTGTATATGTTTTTTTTTATAAGTTTTTAAATGTTAATATTTATTTGATTTTAGTCTTTTGATAAATATTACTGATGTGGCACTAGTGATGTGACTTGAGAGGATGAAATTTAAAATATTACTTTTATAAATTTAAGTTTTTATTACTCAATCTATTTTTTGTCTCAATTTTTTCTCATATTTAACTTTCAATATCTGGATCTATGTGTATGCAGGTATAAATGTGGAAATTATATAGAAGATATATCTAAAGTTTTGATGACGACAAGTAATATTATTTTTGTAAAAGGTTTTGTTTAGGCCAATGCCCTAGTACCGCCCTAGGAAGAGGCAACGACGAAAGATTATCCGGTGGGATGTGTCGTCTCGCCCTTGAGTCTTCCCTCGCCCGTATGAAAAAAATATGGGATAAAACGTGTCCTGCATAAAGAGAAAGTCAAGGTCATTACTGACTCACGTATCCCTTAGAAATAGGGATACAATTGTCCACTATATGACTAAATGGGCGGTGGATTTTTCGAGAGAATCCTAGATCCTAGAGACCCCTACAAATACATTTCCCCTCAAGGGGAAAAAAAGGTCTTTAAGTCAAACACACTTTCCACTACTAAAAAAACATTACGCTCAATGTAACCCTGACACACTATCAACCTAACTGCCTACCTGTAACCTAGCAGCACCAGCCACATACAAGGCCTCCCACCTCACATGAGGTGGTCCCTTAAACAACCTCAAAAACTACTGCATAGGGTTTCTCGTCGCTGTGAGCAAGCCCTCACTACCTAAACGTGTTATATAAATACAAAGGCCTTTAAGTCTCCCTGACCTTTTAGAGGGAGCGTGTCCATCTGCACTTTTTTATCAATACAATGGCGCCCATCATGGGGCCGCGGTAAAACTAACTTTGGCCACATCTTTCACTCTAACCATATCATCCCTCTTTTCTTCTTAAGATGACTAACAGGGTCCTACGTCACGAAGCCAACACGATTGTTGGAGGTAACTCCAGGAGGGGCCTCTCAAGAGCCGCCAGAAGAAGATACACGAAGCAGGTGTTCACGATAAACAACATATCCCTTGACTTTCTTGGGAACACCATAGGAATGGCAGGGGTCAACATCATTTTCTCTAAAGATGATGCCCTAAGCATCAACCCTAACGACAATAATCCCCTGCTCATCACTGTTCATCAAGGCAATTGGGATATCAGACGCGTCCTGATAGATCTTGGGGGTTCCGTCGATATCCTATTTTGGGATGTCTTCTAGAAGTTACAACTAAATTTGGATGGCATACAAAGGTTCAATGACTCTCTGACAAGATTATTGGGCAATAGGTACAAATAATAGGTTGTGTGACCCTAAAAATTACATGTGACGAGGGAGTGGACGCCAAAACTATCAACATCAGTTAGCTCATTGTAGACTCCTAGTCACCTTACAATTTCATCATGGGGCACCCCGCCATCAGCACCCTGGAGTCATCATATCCACCCAGTATTTAACCTGATATATCTGCTCCTAGATGGAAGAGTCGGCACCATCCAAGGATATCAACAAGAGGCTCGCGTATGTTATTTGGGGAACCTAGAGACACCCAGGGAAGAGCTCGCACTTGTTGATGCCCACCCTTCCGAAGTTCGAAATACTGACTTCAAGGGTTGATACCACAGGCTAGGCGCGAATGCGGAAAGGTTCAAGACCATATAAGAGTTGAAGGATGTCCAAATTGGATCTCACGCCCATCAAGTTACAAATATAGACACTTCCTTGTCTATAGGGGATGAGCGGGAGCTAGAAGAGTCACTTAGAAGGAATGTTGACATGTTCGTGTGGGGACCCTCATACATGTCAAGTATAGACACCAAAGTCGTAAGTCATCACCTTGCCATGCATCCCCCTGTTAAACTAGTGGCACAGAAGAAACATGAGGTAGCCGAGGAAAAGAGGGTAGTCATTGATGAAGAGGTGGAAAAGCTATCAAACATTGGATTCATTACTAAAAATACCCCAATTGGCAAGCCAACATAGTCTTGTTACGAAAGGCCAACAATAAGTGGTGCAAGTGTGTAAACTTCACAGATCTGAATGTTGCATGCCCCAAGGATCCATACCCAATATAAGACATTAACTGCCTAATCTACGGGTTAATCAAATTTGAATGGATCCCCTCGATATGCCTAAAATTACCTTCATGTCTAACCATGGCAATACTACTACAATGCCACACTCTTTGGCCTCAAGAACACTGGTGCCATGTACCAGCGACTCATGGATGTCGTTTTCGCCCATCAGATTGGGCAAAATATAGAGGTATATATTGACGACATGATTTTCAAAACGGGGAAGGGGAATAGTCATGCCGACAACCTGAAGGACATCCTTAAGTTAGTAAGAAGGATAGTATGCGCCTAAACCCCGCCAAGTGCTCTTGAAAAGTTTAGGCAAGGAAATTTCTAGGTTTTATACCGAGAAGGAGAGGGATTGAAGCCAATTCGGACAAGTGTCAAGAAGTCATTGACATGAGGAGCCTCACTAACACGAAGTAAGTGCAATAACTTATTGGACGCCTTGCTACCCTGTCTCACTTCCTCTCCTACACAGGAGACAAAGCTTTCTTTTTCTTCACTGCCCTGAGGAAAAAGAAGAGGTTTGAATGGACTGTCAAGTGTGAGGAGGCTTTCACCTAGGCTAATGAATTCCTCACATTGCATTCGATCCTTACTCTCTTAAAGGAGGACTCATCTTTTCTCATCTACCTCTCACTCACCGAATAGGCAATGAGCTCAGTCATTGTCCTAGAAATAGACAAAGCAAAGAGACCTTTGTATTTCGTAAGAAAAGTGTTCAAGGGAGATGAGACATGCTACCAAAAAATCAAGAAATCAGCCTTAGTCGTTGTTACTGTAACGAGAAAACTCAGACCATACTTCCAGAGGGACACCAACCTGGTAAAAACCAATTATCTCATCCGACAAGTTTTGAAGAAACCCGAACTGGCAGGAAGAATGGTATATTTTCCAATAGAGCTCTCAAAATATGACATTGAGTATATTCTAAGGGGGCATCAAATTTCAAGCCCTGGAAAACTTTATAGCTCATCTCTCCTGACGAAGACCCCCTTCATAATGGGTGTTATCCGTGGATGGCGCCTCAAACGTAAAGGAATCAACACATGAATAATGCTCAAGGAACTAGGAGATATAGTTATGAGCAGACATTGAAGTTCGAGTTCACCTCTAGTAAAAACTAGGTAGAATACGAGGCTCTCATCTATGGTATGATTATTGCCTTAGAAATGGGATCCACCAAATTAAAATCCAAAAGTGACTCTCAGTTGGTCGCCAAGCCGGTCTAGGGACTATGTCAAGCAAAGAAGCCTCAGTTTATAAAATATCTAAGAATGTACGAAATATATCCACATGTTTCCTTTCTTGTGAAGTAGAACATGTCCCTCGCAAACAAAACTTCAAGGTGTATATCTTCTCCAAGCTAGCCATCTTGAAGGTCGCGGGTTTAATAAGACAGACATACATGAGACTTTCTCTTTCCCTAGCATTAAGGTCGATGAAACGTGTAAGAACAAGGCCTTGGATTTTGATGATAACATTACATGGGTGATTAGATGACAATTTAGTAGCCTAATTGTTTGTTTAGTGTGTAGCTTTTGCTAACAAGTCTGACTCTGAAGAATTGACGTGTGACGTCATTAGGTTCTGGACTCAACACACTGAAGGATACAAGTTTGTGTTTCATAGCCTAGAATGCTTCTAAAATAATGGTTCTGATATAATGTTAGTCTTAAAGCTTTTGATTGTGACTCTGATTTTAGAGTTTTTGATATGTTCTCGAGCTCTAAGGATTCCAAGTTCTCTTACCCAAGTTTTGAAGATTTTAAAGATAAGGTTCTATTGAATGAGTTCTGAAGATTCTGAAGACCAACTGTTCTGAAGACTCTGAAGACAAGGTTTTATTGAATGGAGTTTTGAAGACTCTAAAAAAAGGTTATGAATACTCTGAAGATCAAGTGTTGAAGACTCTGGAGACAATGTTCGGGTTGTACAAGTTCCGAAGACTCTGATGACATGGTTCTAAAGACTTAGTTTTGATCCTTTTATGCATGCTTCAACCATTATGCATCCAGAAGCCTCTGAATATTAGAAGAGAAGATCAAAAGGTTTCACGTGAGTAATAGTACAAGGCACAATATCACTTCGTCTCCGCTATGTTGTTTTTGTGGCACAAGGACATTACTATTGTACGAGATTGTCTACCACTCTCACTGACCGTTGCAAGAAGACAACTGGAATTTTGGTATTCTTATTATACCCTCCAACGGATTTCCTTTTGGCTATGAAAAGAATACTTGAAGAATTGGAATTGTTGAAGAACTTTGAAGAAACTCGTGTTGATTCAAATTGTTGAAATGCTGCCAAAATAACTCTATAA